GGATAGTATTCCCATGTATTCCAATGTATTCCCATGTATTCCAATGCATTCCCATGTATTCCCATGTATTCCTACGTATTCCCATGTATTCCAATGTATTCCCATGTATTCCAATGCATTCCCATGTATTCCCATGTATTCCTACGTATTCCTACGTATTCCTACGTATTCCTTCGTATTCCCATGTATTCCCATGTATTGCCATGTATTCCTACGTATTCCTACATATTCCCATGTATTCCTATGTATTTCCATGTATTTATAATCTTCTAAAAAGATATAATAATAATAATGATAAATAAATGAATTGTTTAAAGAGGATTACCAATTCATTCATCAAAACTGCTATCAACAGGTATCCCGTCTCGCAACCTTTGTGCTAAATTGATAGAGATCCCTTACATATGATTATTTCAGTTTAAGATCATTTGTTTGATGCAATAAACCGCCGATAACCCTCAACTTTCTTCTTCCTTAGCTTACCTTTCAATTTCTGACATTAGCCTTTTTCATCACATGAAAAGAAATAACATCGAATCCGCGCGTGTATTTTTTATTTTGATTGACGAAATAATGGAACTTACAAATGATTAAAAATGCAACGACAACTTTCCATATGAACGTGTATACTTAGTACTATCTGAGGAAATTTTGACAAGTATATTCTCCAAAAGTGGTAAATTGATATTCAAAATATATCAAAATTTAACTTTTTTTTTAAGCATAAACGTTGCGAGTATATAAATTATAAGCGTTCTTCACGTGACAGAAAAAAATTTCCGTTCAGGTGTAAACTCTCATCAAACTTTTCCTTCTTTTCAATTAGTGCAACAATTAATAACGTTTAATTCATTAACAAAAGAGATTTCGTTTCTCAGCTCTTTTAACAGAGCACATTCACCTTACTTTTATTTGCCAGTCTGAACATGAGTACGTTCCTTTTTTGTTCCAGTTGTTGAAGTTTCCCGGCTATTTGTAGAGTATTTTTCGCTCTTATGGGGAACTTTGATTCTTTACAGATACTGGAATTTGCTACCTGATTAAATAGGCGTACAACATTATCTGCTGATGGAGATACCAAAGTCGACGTCAAAAACGATACAATAGTCATCAGAAG